TTTTCTAACGCTTGCTTCTCAACGATGATTTTTTTTTTTTTTTTTTTTTTCAGTTGCAGTAGTAACCAGTCGGTTACAACAACCTTCATTTTTGAAAGATTGTCGCTCCCTCCTGAATTCATTAAACTGCCTGCAAGTTCTGAACTGGGAAGGATTCCTCAAAAGCACCACACAAGCTTTCGAAATAACTTGTGTTCAATATGGCCACCTTCGAAATCAGGCAAGAAAATGTTCAACATTTAACTTCATAATGTTTCAGAATTAAGCGTCAGCTGAATAAAATCGAAATGGTTTTCTCGTCAAATAGTAGAAGGTAGTAGGTCCTTCTTTAGGAAGTAGGTACTAGGTCAAAGCACTATTGAGAATCCCCGCTACATTAATTCCCGTGATTGAAACTGCTAAATACTGGGCTGGTTTAGGTTCGAACCCTGGCGAACTGGCTGGCTGCATGGTTGGTTTTTATATTTTCCCCATTGTAACGTAAATAAGAGCCAGTTGCTCTCAGAAAGTCCTCCACGAGGCATTCCTCTCTTAAGCAGATAGCCCTCGTGTCTTTGCCATATTCAAATATCCTAACCTAACCCTCGGCATGAAACACCTAGTGCTTCATATAGAGCATGCCCATTTTATAGGATTCTAAAAACATTCTTAGGTGTATGTATATTCACAAAAGACATTAAATTACAACATTTTACATATGAAATATTTTTAGTCCAAGATGATGCATTCATTTTCTTTGTTCCACTTTTTTACCAACAGGAGCTGCATCACTTCTTTCTCTTTATGTGATGCCTCTGGATTTTCTTGAGTCAACATTCTGTAGTCATATTACTAGCATTGAAACATCCCTGGTATCTTCCCCTCCTTTATTTAATGTTCATTTCTGGTAAGTTAAAAATTTTCATCTCACACTAATATCCTAACACCAATTTCGACACAAATTACCTTTCCTTTTTGGTTGGTGATAAAGAAGGTCCGAACCTTTCGCAACGTTATTTAAAATAATTATCTCTTCGTTTTTGTCAGTGCTTTCATAAATTGTTTCATGAAATCCAGCTTTATAGGGAACATTAGTAAATCAGTTTTTACTATGACAACAAGATTTTGAGGTAAATTTTTTGTGTTGCCAATTTCAAGACATATTTTTTACTAGACAGCAATTTTTGTTTCCAGCGTTCTTTATTATTATATCATCTCATTCACGTATAAAGTATGGAAATTTATTGCAACCATCCGCCCGAGGTCTTTACAGATCATCTATTTAGAATCATAGTATTTATTATGAGGGTGAGGACTAATTTTATATTCTCATAATTTTTATCTTGCAGAACAGCAGACTGATACAGAGGCTGAAAAACAGTTTTAAGGATTCTTTTTTTTAATAAGCAGTGTGTTAGATACGCGCCAGCTTTCATTAGAAAGTTCTGCATGAAACCATCCATCCCCTTAGGCAGATAGCCCTAGCGTGCTTTGTCGTAATCAAGTAAATCAAACGAAGGTTGCCCAGACGGGATAGTGGATAATAACTCTAAATGACGTACCGATGGACCTGGTCTCCAATCTCGGAGAAAGCGTGGATGTTTGTATGTGTACAGTGCCTGTGCTGCGAGTTCATTAAGCGAAACGTGCTAAACGAAATGTATGTGTGTGTGATTACGGCAAAGCCTCCAGGGCTATCTGTCTAAGGGGAGGGATGCCTTTGTGGAGGACTTTCTAAGGGAAACTGGCTCGTATACACGTTACACATGCGTAAAACCACGAAAACGCTCATGCAGCCAGCCCGTTCGCAGGATTCGAACCTCGGACCGAACTACCAGGGTTCAGCAACTTTACCGCTCAGCCGCTGGTGGGCCGCTAAACAAAATGAAGTGGGACAAAAAAGTTAAGCGAGTAGCCTTTTTTTCCCCCACAGCTGTCGTTCGCGCGATTGCGAGCCAAATCGGGTGTCAGAAAACTACCTTGAAGTTCCTGTTTTAAAGTAACAGACTATAATGGAAGTAGAGTTTAATCAGGTTAATAATTTACTATCAAAACATGAAAGAAGTTGAATATATTTGAAAGAGGTAATTTAAGAATTAAATTAATAAGTTATATGAAAAATATTAAAAAAATTGCATCAGTGCATCAAACCTAAACATCACATTAACTTTTTATATCTGTAAAATTTGCTTATATGTGTAAAACTAATATAGTAATAGTAAAAATAATAATAAAACATAAAGCTAATAAACCTTAAAAAATGTTCTGTTCTTAGTCTAACCGTTACCTTTAAGTTATTTATGTGCAATTATATATACTATGACTGTGTTATATGCTCCATATTGAGAAAAATTTAAGGGGTCAATGAAGGAAACTTCTTTTAAAAATTGTCGATGCAAGAGAAGGTTTAGGAATTCCTGTTTTAAATATTTTAGACCAAGAAAGTTTCGGTTTGATTCGTGGATGTTTTCCCATGAACCGTCTTTCAAAAACCTGTTCGATCACGTGACTTCTTGGCTTGTAGAAAGAATATAACCCAACTAAGAACTAGCGAAATGAGTACGAGTTCAATTTCAGTGTTTTGGAGACGGCTTCTCAACTTGATTTCTGAAAAATGTATGAAAGAGAATCTGTAAGATTAAATTTTATTTTTTTTTATAACTCTAATTTTAAAGTCTTTCAGTTTTACATCTCGAGAGCAAGAACATGTGGACGATAGGTAAATAAAGCAAGAAGTCATCAGTAATTTCTACCTGTCGACGTCTCCGTGGACACAAAGATGAGCGACGCTAGTATAATTTTAAGATCCCTGATACGTCTCACGATAACAAGCGTAACGGCATGCTCTGCTTCACGTTAGGGATTACTATCAAGAAAATTTCGACAGTAGCAAAGAAGCGACGAGCAAGGTATAATTTGTGAAATCTGCCGCTTCCGTGTTCCGTGAAAGAATCTCATCGCGGATCAATCCGGCTTCACCAATTAATGCACCGGATGTTACTCTGATCAGATAGCCGATACTTTCATAGCACGTGTCAGTTGAAACTGATTTTGCTTTCATTTGCTTGACGGCGTTCGCAATTAATAGTTATATATGGTGTCGCAATTGGAGGCTGGCCTTGACAGCTGCACGGCGGGGTTTTCTCTGTTGCCTCTCATTTTTTTCAAAGAGCCAACAGTCAGTAAGAGGAGGGACCAGTGGTGTGGAATGCAATTGAACAAAATTAGTAATGTGCAGTTTTGATAACTGGAGACTCAAAAGTATTTTATCATATTTATGTGACTTTAATTAATTGTACGGTTAAAATCTTAGATTAATTAAAAAAAAAAAAAAAAAAAAAAAAAAAAAAACGAAGTTCGGTTTATTGTCCATTGTTACTTCTAGAAGTTATTATTAATTTGAAGGAACCTAATAATTAATTTAGGAGAACAGAATATAAAAGTGTGGCATAAATATTGTGCTCCGGACCATATTTTAGACAGTTCTAAAATTTCAAATTCATTTTGTTTCATAGCTGTAAATTTATAAAATCTGAAAGTCCTGAGAATCTGGGTCTTAAAATAATTAATCTGTTTTTAAGATAGATATGTTCCATACTTTGTATTAAATATTTGTATTCTTTGTATTAAATAAATCAATAAATAAACCGTCCTTCGTTTTGAAAGTCCTTAGTTTTGAAGCGTATAAGGTGTTTTCTCCCTCCTTTCTGCATGCTTCGTGGTGTAACGGTATGCGAGATGTCCAGGTTCGAGTCCTGGCGAGGGCATCGTTCATTTTTCATGTCCCTTGCTTTAAAATAACCTAATGACTCTACAAGTGAAAAGTTACCTTTTCTTTTTGTTGGAGACATTATTTCTTTGATTTCTTTTATCGAGTAAATCATTTTCGATTTTCAAGGCCCGCATGTATACATTCACAAGCAACAGACAGATAAAGCCAAACAAAGCAATAAGAAATATACACGTAATTAAATTTTAATGCTTTTATTTTACAATTAGCTAGACTATCTCTTTCCCTCATATTTCAAAATCAGCTTAAAGGTTACGTTGTGTGACATTTCCTGCGATGTTTCAATTTTAAATTTTCCCTTCATCCTAGATTTCATATTATTTGAGCTATAAATGACAAAATTTAAAAATGAATGCTCGTTTCTAATCATGAATACAAAACTTGAAAAAAAAATATTACTCTTGATAAGGTTATATGTCACAGACATTCTAACTGTAAATATATGGAAACTCCGTTTCTATTCAGTTTCCCAGACTTACTCGTTTAGAATTGCTGTCCTGAGCATACTATTAAATGAAAAAACATTATTCATATGGAACGACTTTTCGGCAGTTCTGTGAATTGTTATTATTTAAACATTTTCTTTACTGTTCGTAGATACTGAAAATTTCTCGCATTGTGCTATAGAACTTTAACTGTTTTAATAGTCATTACGCAGGTTTACCAGGTGTTCCTATAGCAATAACAATGTATTCAATCTGTATTTTCCCTTGTCCTCCACTCCTCCTCTCTCCCCCCAAACGTGTAAATTTGAATACATCGAAAGAAATTCTGCAACGTAATTGGTATAATTTAATGAAATCTCACGACAGCCATGTAACACATTAATTATAAAAAGTATGAACTGATTCTTAATAATGTTTTTTACTGAATTACATTAAGTTTTGCAAAGAATAAAATAAGGAAGAAACTTTTATTCAATCTTAGAAAAAGGCATTACAGAATTAATGGAAATAAATAAATATACAAGATAAAAGTTTATGTATAAATAAATCTGGCAAGAAAGATCAATATATTCTTCCTTAAACAAATATATACTTAAATAAACATATTCTCCTGACTTGTACTATAGACATTTTCTGAATTATACCTAATTAAGAGAATGACTGTGGTAGAATATTTAAAAAAAGATAAAAATTTTAGAACAGTTTTATAAGACTACAGTAGGATATTTAGAAAAAGAAACAAACTTAGCACAGTTTTATAAAAAAATATAAAATAGCAAACTTACTCTCGTGATAAGCTTACTCTTCTTATCGAAACATATGAAACGGCGACTGCTTTCGCCAATTATATTCACTCCGTAATGATTATGGTAATAAACAGGTTGAAGTATGATGTTTGCTGAAAATACAAAAGCATTTTTCAAATATATATTTAAATAATGTATTAACTATCTAAAAATAAGTTAGCTTGATTAACAGATTTTCCCCCCTCTATAAACTCAGGTCAAAATCCGTTTGAAGCTTCACTTCTTTTCATAATATCAAAATATGTTCCTTAATAGCGAGCATAGCTTCATCTTTTAAGTTTAAAGTTCTAAATAAATAAATTGTTTAAACCTTCTTCTGACTCAGTTGTTATTTCCACAGACGGGGTAATAAGGAAACTGACAGTTTCAGTAGGAACTGTGTTAAGCTAATTAAGAAGTGAAACCCTACGACTTCCTCACCTATCCTGCGAAACATGCTAATTTGAAAGCAGATTTTCGGTTAACATTTGCACGAGAGAGTGTGCGCACGCATAGAATACATACGCGCTTCAGATATATTCACTTGAAATGTATATATATATATATATATAAAGTTGTGCTATGCATACAATGTTGCTATGTCAAATATATATATATATATATATATTTAATCAATATCGTGCTTATACAGAATGTTCAAAAATAGTGGCTGCAAATTTAATTATTTTGAATAATGATTCTAGACAGATACTTCCAGAATATAATTTATCAAAATAAGGTAAACAACCTTTTTAAAATTGCCTCACTATCGTAGATAGAATAATTCTACGAAGTCTAACTTTTTATATAGTCTCAAGCGAGTTCTTTAAATGAGTCTGAACGTGAAGTGTGTAACATAAGAATTTCCTAGAACGCGTTTTAAAATAATTTAGAGAATAACTACGTTAGCATCAAAGTAAATAAGAAAGAAGACTTTGGAATCAAGTTACTTGACTAACTTAAAAATAAATTCACGGTTACTGAAGTCTTCACTTTTATTAAAGTATAAAATATCAATCCAAATTTGCATGCAGTTGTTTCGAAAATTTTTACAGTCGCCACGTAATGCAGATTCTTTAAGATGAGGCTGCTAAAAATCCTCAAATGTGTTAAATCTTCAACAAATACCACTTTAGCTTGGATAAATGGAGAGGTAATTCGGCCCCTTTTTTCAAACAAAATTCTATCGATTTCAAGGGCGATCAGATATAGGTTCTTTTTCTGACGAAGAAAAATATTTTGAAGCAAAAATTCCTTTTCCAACTGAAAAAGAGGAATCTGTGTCTGATCCCTTTTGAAAATGATAGAGTTTTACGCAAAATCTACGCCAAAATAACTGTCTAAATTTAAGTTTTACATTGGTGTGTTTCTCTTTCATTTGATTAAATATCATTTTGTTGAATTACCAGGAACATTACATAAGAATTTCCTTCACCTAGACCATAATTATTGAAATTTTAATTATTTAAGTCTTTTTATTTCAGTTAATGATGTGTAAAATAATTTCAGATTTTCATTCATCTGTCATGAATAATATTACTACATACAGTGGCTCATATTTGTTTTCACACGCTTGTATTTTCTAGTTTCATTTTGAAATATCAGTTAATAAATATTAGCGAAATAACTACTCTTTTTTTTTCCAAAAAAGAGAAAAGAAAAGAAAGGTATTATTATTATTATTATTATTAACTTATTCAAAAAGTTCTGAAAATGAGCTCACGTAAGCATCCGGACATTTTGAAGCAACAATTTATATTTAATAAAAAAAGGAAAACAGCTGATGTTCAGTATTTTATTGGATATGCACTTTGGAAAAAATTCCATATTTAACTATTCTTTCTACAACTCACTTCATAAATGCTGACAATATTGAGGAGTTTTGATAACTTCAGGACAGTTATACAGTAACCACGAGCGAATATTAAAGTCTGCGTGTTTAGGATCGTTATCCTGATAAAACTTGAATGTATTTTGTTAAAACTACATTCCATATCTCAGAAGTAGTGAAACATTCCCAAACGATTATGCCTCTACCCACATGCTTAAAAGCAGACAATACGTTTTTTGGATTCATTTTACTTTTCGATTTTCGCCTCACAGTAATTCGTGCATCGGACCTAAATGTATTAAATTGCGACTCGTTTGCAAGTATACTTTATTTTCATACGATAAATCTTTGCTTACCATAGATTATGAGAATGTCAGTCATATTTTCCTGGTTTTCTTGTTGACGAATAATTTCCTTCTTGCTGATCACCCATAATATCCATATTCCTTAACGATTCTTCTAACAGTTTCAGGGTTAACTTTATTGCAAACTGTTATTCTAAATTAACTAAAAGTTAACCAGCATTAATATTTTTTAAATTTATTTATTTTTATTTTATTTTATTTTTTGTAGGATAAATCACCGCCTCCTTCGTATTAGCTTGAAATGTGGCCCAGACTTCTGTGAATTTTCAAAAGTTCTATACAATTTCCATCACTGCGTAACATCAAAGACAACTGAAAGCTTGACATTAAAGACTTTTTGAATATTTCGAATACTTTTACCTTCTTTAAAATAATGAATAATTAAATTTCTAACAGAACTTGTCGTTAGTTTGCAGTGTCCTGCCATATTCAACTCAGATATGGAACTGTTAATATATTTTACTAAATAACTAATAATTTTCATATGCAGACGATAGCTCTTCTGATGTATTTTCATTTAAAACAAAAATTTATGACAAGAAACTTCATCTGCCAAAATATCTCAAAAAACGTTTCGAGTGTCCGAATTATGTTAGTCACCGACTGATACGTTTTGAATAAATTATTTTGATTTTATTTTGCAGAAACAAGGCTTAAAATAAGCAAAAAAATACTATGTTAAAAAAAGATTAGAGCCTATGTTAGAGTATTTGGTACAAGATCTATGCACATAAACTTAAAAAATACATGTATACGAAAACGAATGTGATCCGCTATACAGTTTAGTGCGACATTTTCTCAATGAAATTGGGTTTTGGTTTCGGCATATAGACACTGAAAAGATTTCTCACTACCTTTCGTTACTGAAATCTACAAAGTAGAAAAAATCACAAACAACATGCTTTAGATGTTACGTCATCTGACTGGATTGTGTAAGGTATAGATTCTTAGAGCTGTAACTGAAACGAATTCGATATGACAATTATTTTTCTTCCTCGTTTCCAACGTTCAATCATGTTCGCGATCGTCAATTAGTTTTCCCCAGCTCTTTAATCCATCGAATGCTCGAGGCCATAATAGCGCAGCGCCAAAGCAATTTAATATCTCTCGATAAACTGTCAGGCTGGACAAACATTCGATGTAAGAAATGGTTTCAATAAGCGCAAATTAGACTAAGCAAACTATCGAGAGTGGTTATAACGGATTGACTGCGCTCAAAATGATCACAATGCTGTCAAGCTGTCGAGATTTTTTGGACCAATTATTTTAAGGATAGGCACGCTACATGGGGTTAAAGATCAGCGTCGCGTGATTTAAAGGTGATAAGGCAAGAAGGGCGAACAAGTTACGCAGGATTACTTGAAGCAGCAGGAACTAAATTGCTATTCCGATCCTCAAGTTCGGAACCACGCAGTGTTGCGATATCATCAGTGGCGGCTCTATTGAAGGGTAATTGTTTCCAACACCAATTAAAAGGAAACTCGAGAACTTGGCGTCAAGACAGTGAGTGAAAGATTAGTTCAGCACCCAACTGTGAGTGTGTAAGCTTCGCATTTAATCCCTTTAATAGAAGACTGTATTAGAGCTTTAAAGTTCCTCTAGAAGATACATTGCTTAAAAAAGAAAAATGAGCAGATTTTTGTTGAAAGTAAAATGTAAGAGAAGTTTTTACAAATAAGTCCATAAAACACTGCAAATTTGTTGATATATAATTTTAAAAATAAGATATGCATTGCCTTTTCTCGCAATAGTATTAAACAGGTGTGCGCACAGGTGTTTTTAGAAAGTGCGAATTTACATATTTCATTTTAATTATTTGCAAGCTTATTGTGTGCCTCTTTTTGTTCAGAAAATTTACTGTTTCTGTGTTCTAGCAGTCTGTATTCTAGACATAGCAAATGATTTCATTTTTGCAAATAAAATTTGAATAGCTGGTCTGGTGATGAGCACAGTGTCGCCATATTACGTGATTCCAATTAAATTTAAGTCTGTGTGGTTTTGCGAATTTTCTGCTTCTCCGTCATTTTTTTTTTTTTTTTCTGCTTTAGCTGCGTAAAAACTCCTTAACGAATTCATAAAATACGCATATGTCAATATATTGTAGCTATTAAATCTAATTTATTAATTTATTTAAGCTTAAATAAAAGTTAACAATTGGCTATCTTGCAGTCATAGCCCATGAGCGAATGTGCACTCAGTTTTCAACACAAATCACTGGTTTGATGTGTTGGTTTTATGTGTTTGATTACTTTGTTTAATATTTTGGTAACCTGTGAGTAAGATCCCAAAGTTTAGAAGCATTATAGCTGCTGTGTAAATTAAAATATTGTTACGAAATGTACAGGCGCGGTAAGATGGCTTTCCCGCAAAGCAGTTTTAGGGTTGCCATAAAATAGCAAGGAAGGCATGATTGCCACATTTGGCGAGAAATTGCCCGTTTGGCGACATTTGGCGACAAAATTGGCTATATGCCATGGACGGATGGAGAACCTTCTGAAACGAATTCTTACCGGTTTAGCCCAGAATGTTCTCAAACACAAGCCGAAAGCTATATAAAGCCTGCTGGTCCGCAGTCAGAGAGAGTGTCTCGTCGAGAGGGCGAATATGTGTGCCTGTGAGTATGCCTCGTAGAGGGCGAGATAGTTAGTTAGTATCGAGTTTGTGTCTCAGTTAGTCCGTGCGGAGTGCCAGCAAGTGACAGCCGGCCAGCAAATGCCGAGTGGGTCATCGAGTGCACCGAAGGAGTCTCTTAGTGTATCGCGGTTAGTGCATCGTCGAGAGAGTGTGTTGAGCTCCGGGAACGACTGAACTGAAGAGTCGAGAACGGTGCTCTGTGTGTCGTCGAGTGAATCGCGAGTTGTAGCGTGAAGAGCCTTGAGAGTACGTGGAGTTCGGAGAACAACCAAGCAGACTCGGG